AATAAACTAAGAATTGTGTGATTACTGTCATCTACACTGCAACAGCAGCAGCTTTATTTTTTATTGTGTGATATTTGTATATCATACCTCCGTTATGCATCTGTGTTATTTTGAACTCCGGCTAATTTCGGATCTTGAGTAAATATCTGAAAGAAAATATGACTATGAAATAAAATAACAAAATATTACAAAATTAATATTGAGGGTTATACACAAGGGGGTGCTTTACCCACCCCCATTTGGGACGTATGAAATTGGAGGAAGACAGCGAATATTGATATATCTCTATTTTATATTGAAATTCTTTTATCCCAGTCTTTAAACGCTTTTACACAAACCATCTTAATATCTACCTCAGGTAAATATCAAGCAATCGTAGTAGAACTCGACAGTATCAATACTCATTCAACTGCCCCGGAGCACCTTCCCCCTTCCTTTACTGCCGGAGTCCCGCCTCCCAAAGGAACTTTATCGGTGAAAAGTCACACGAATTAAATCACCAACCACATGCATGCAGATGCTCTTATACGCGAGGGAACACGAAGTAGAGGATGAGTCTGAAGGTAAGTGGCTAATGTAAATCACGCAATACGGTAGAGTAAACCGGTGTGTTAATATAAAACAATAAAGAGCGCCGTGGAAATCATCATTATAAATATATGTAAATATTCATTAACATATGTATACATTTAACTCTTTCATGTCAACTTCCACAAATCAGGTAAGCTAAAGCTTACCCCAATGTTGCACTGAAATCATGACGAGTAGGTGAATGTATTACCATTGATACAAAAATGCGATGTGCTGACGACCTATTTACTGCAATTCCGTGGAGACGAAATGGTGACAATCAATCCTTTCTTTTGTTGTGTTTCAATGTTTCGACTGTTGCCTCGTAACCAGCATTCTAGCCTTCAGCTGGAATGGCCAGCTTTCCTGTCTCCAACGCACTAAGATTTTATTCTCTACTTATCATGGTATCCACTTTGTCAAACGGATAATGCAGTAGATGAATTTCTCAGTCTGTCCGTGTGTGTGTGTGTGTGTGTGTGTGTGTGTGTGTGTGTGTGTGTGTGTGTGTGTGTGTGTGTGTGTGTGTGTGTGTGTGTGTGTGTGTGTGTGTGTGTGTGAGTGGGTTGCTTGGGTGCGCGCGCGCGAGCATGCGTGTGTGTGTTAAAGTTCCAGCGACAAAATTTTCTGGTAATGCAGTAGATAAATTTCTCAGTCTGTCCATTGTAGAAGGAACTCGGTTACGACTGTACGATGATGGCATGTTAAGCTAAAGCGGTCGCTTATGTTCCAAATTCATGTTGTGATGTAACAATAGGGGATCTAACTAGACAGCTTACAATAAAGGATGTAAAGTGCCCATATTTAACATCGCATACACACATTTACAGCCAAACGATTTGACTTAATTGTCTACCCGTATGCCTCTGCGCATATAGGTGGGCGATATGGTTATGAATAGTGATTCATGTTTTAACTATTTCTCGATCTACAGAAATGGCAGGAGGGACATTTTCACATGAGAAACCTGAATTGTATCAGAGGGCCACACCAACGATAACTTGAACTTAATTTTTCTCAACTTTCTTCCATTGTAAAATGCACTAAATTACATATTCAGTGCATTATATATTTACTAAATATTTATATATTATATATATATATATATATATATATATATATATATATATATATATATATATATATATATATATATATATATATATATATATATATATGCGTTCCTGTCCAGCCTCTCGCGGGCCGGACAGGGACGCACGGCCGGATGTGGCCCGCGGGCTGTAGTTTGCCCAGGCCTGCCCTACTGAGCAAGGTCTATAGGCCTTGCTACTGAGTGCCCATAGTAGAGAAGTGTTTAACGTTTAGCGTTTTCGCAACTTAAGAAATTAAAATTAAGTGTTTAAGCTTAAAGTTTGAAGAATCTTATGATTGTGTAAACTTGAAAATGTGTTCTTAAATGTTTTTGTTGTATTTCGAACAATTTTTGTCTTCTTATTTACGTTGATTGGTTATTGTGTGATAGCTAACATTGACATGGTGGATAATTAATGAAGTAAGTGAGTTCCGCAAGCTATAAGTAAAAAAAATGTTCGAAACATGTATTTCTCAAGCCAAAGGAGGTAGTATGTGAAAATGCTACTGTACCCTATTCTATGTTATCAGCCAAGTCTGTTACTGTGGCATATTTTTTCTTGTATATATTGTTACATTTTTGGTTTGGACGGTTCGTCTGGCGCACACTTGTTACGTCATCCGTCAGATTGTCCGAATACGCTAGCTCGTAAGAACATTATAAGTGATCGACTGTAAGTAAGGTTATCAATAATTGCTCATTTTATGAATGTTTAATACAAATTTATAATTTTATGGAATAGATATAATACATTTCATTATAATACATAACAAGAAAAAAGGACTGAAAGACCTGGCAAGGAAATCGAACACGGTGTTTACATTTGCGCGAGGATTC